ATGTTAGAGCTTTTTTGCATTGCATTTTACCAAATATATCCTTTACCTTTTCAAGTATCTCTCACACAAGAGTGGTTACATGACAAACAGGGCTTGCACATAGGAAATGAGTCGAGTATATTGTTGCCAGTCAGGCTGTGCCAGCCATAAACATCTGCCGGTCACAAGCAAGTAAAAAGACAACTTTACATCTCAGTAGTCCACCTGGGACCTGTGAGGACAGTCCTCCAGCCCTTCTGCAAGAGACCTTGACAGATTCTGGCAGAAAGATTTGGTGCCACTACTTCCCTAAGTTTTGAAATCCAGGACAATTTCAAATCTTAGACCACAATCCCATGACTCTAGGCACTTGAAAATGCTGACTTATGCAACCAACCTGTAACTTTTACATATGCCCACAAACCATAGGGAAAATAGGTTTTTCTAATACATCACAAACTCATCATTTATCTCTTGCAACTTATCCCCGTGGGCAGACTCCATTTTTTGCCAACAAGAAATGAAAAACTGTCCCTTTACTGGCCAGCAGAAGGAGACCTGAGTATCTTGGAAACTGTGTCAATGTTACATGGCCTCTCTACACACCAGCTTAATATCTGAGCATACCTCAGATGACATTTACCTCTCTCCTTTGGAACTCCTTCTGGAGTTTGGGCATGGGTAAGCATGGCTGTGCCAGCGTTTGTATTTCAATTCTTTGAAACAGGTTTGAGCAAGGAAGATATATCTTTTGCATTTAGGACTGTGTTTTCCTGATTCTTCTCAGAGACACTCAGGACTCTGAACACTCAGGACGGAAGGTGTTCAGACTGCATTACTTTTTAGAGGCAAAAATTTCTATCATCATTGCTGACTCCACAAAACAACTGATAAGGAAGAGGAGCTAAATATATACAGGTGCCTACAGACTTACCATAGCATAGCAAATGTAACCTAAGATATATTCATAGAATTATTGCCAGCAGAGGCAAGGAGGTCTCAGTGATGTGGTAAGATCACCTCTCTGGGACAGCTTAAGATTCTGATCAGACATGAAATATGAACTAACATGGAATAGGCCCAATAAAGGGTACCATGGTGGCTATGGAATGGAAAGCACAGCTTCTGAAGACAGTGCAGAACAGCTCTATTTTGTTTAGGCTAACAAGCCAAATACTGAAACAGAATGGATGCTAATTCCCTACAAAAGCATCAAAGAGATAAACAATGAAATACATAAGCCAGAAATAAAGGTTGGCACAAGTATACACGATGCTAACTAGCAATTAATTAATAAATTTAGCATATGGTTTGGAAAAAAAAATCCTAAATACTATAGGATATCATTGCATCAAAGACTTGAGTTTGGCACAGTAGGTCCACAGAAGGAAAACATGGGCTTGGGGTTTTTTCAGTATGATGGTAAATTTGTAAAGGCATTCATGTAGCACAGTGGCTATGATCAGAGAGGACTAGTCCCCTTTTTCCCACAAAGACACCACAGTTAAAAAACAGCTCCTTTTCTCTTGGGATCTCCTCTGGTCAAGATGACCCCAAGATGTATTAAAAGTCTTTTTTCCCCAAACCAGCTGTTGAAGAAGAAGTCAGAAATCTTTAGCTCGCTTTCTCAAGGTTGTTTATTATTTCTTATCTAAAACATTTTCTGTCTGGCCTGCCGAGGTCTGTTCAGCAGGTCAGTCCAAGGCACACTCCCTGCCCTGAGGTAGTGATATCTTTTTATACTAAAAACTACGTGTACTTTATTTACAGTTATTTTCCAATACCTATCGTCTATGGTAGACTGTGTACTTCTACTCTAAACCAATCCAAATATGCTAACATCACCCAGAAGATGGAGGCTAGGAAGAAGAAGGAAGAAGGACAGGACAAGGCCCAAAGTCCCCCATCCTGTCCCCTAGACCCCCATAGTAAAATTCTTCAAAATTCCACTTTTCACCCTGTGACAATTACTGTTACGCTACTTAAACGTTTGTGACTTGTAATTCTTCATATAAAGTTGGTAACTTGCTCCATGGGTTGAGATCGAATTCCCAAGTGTCTTTGGCTTCCTGCCACGGTCTCCAAGCCCCTGCCAGGATTTTCAGCCATCCAGGGCATCCAGAGGGATGTCCTGGGTTCCGACACTTTTCAGCATCAGGAGTCATTTAAAGAGTGCTGTCCACAGTTAGAGTTGTACAACACCATGTTCAGACACCAGCCACAAGAGCCAAAAGGACCTTTTAGTTTTGCAGCAGAACCCTACTCTGAGGCAGGTATTGACAGTCCACTTGTCTCTTACCCTGGAGCAGACGATACATTTGGCCAAGCAGATCCCGCAGACCAGACCAACGACAGAGACAAATCTCTACAGACTGTGCTGGGGAAGTTGTCAGTTTCCTCAGACGTGAACACCACACTGTACGCACTTAAAGGTAGGTGACCTGAAGTTATTATGCCCCTGATATATATATGCCCCTGTTTTTAACAAAAATAACCTGAAATTTCAAAGAGAAACAATAAACAAAACCAAACAACATGTACCTCTAATAGGAAACCCTTCACTAAACTGAGAACATCTTCTCCTCTGGTTTTGAATTTGCAATCCACATATGGAAATATCTTGAAAAGAAGTGCACTTCTGGTACACTATCCTCATGGTAAGTTTATCAGGAACCGCTTGCTAGCTGTAGGCTTATTTAAGGTCTGTGTCAAAGATTTAAAGGATCATTGGCAAAGTTTAGAACTTCACAGCTTGGTGGCAAACTAGTTACTTCTGGCATGGCCTGTAATTTTATAAGCATAAACTCTAGAGACCAAAGGCAAATCTGAAATGTACTTTTACTAAATTAACTAGAAAAAAATTGCAGCTGGAATTACCATATGTATCCAAGCTTTTGGTCTCAAAAGATTATTTTAATCATATATTAGTCATGATTTATGTGCTGGCTGTTTGGCATGCAGCATCTGGGTCTATTTGTTCTGAGCTAAGGGGATGCAGAGACGACAACACGAGCATAATCTCCAGTTTAATGTAGTTTTAATGTATTTGTTTTTTTGTGTTGCTTTCACAGATGTGCTGTGATAAGGACAGTAACTGTGATTCTATGGTGAATCTGTATCAACCAACTTGTCTAGCTTAAAAAGAGAAATTATTTGCATGTGCCTGTAAAGACAGCAGTAATTTTGATAAGACTTATTGTACTTTAGAAAAACTTTATTAGTTGCTCATGGCACATTGCCACAAGAAAGACAAATAAAAGACCTTAAGAAGTAATTCTAAAATAATGGCTTGAAGAAAGAAATATTGAAATGCTTTGGTTGCTAAAAATGTGGAGACCTTTTGTAAAAGGATCAGAAAATTTTCCGTATGTATCAAGCATTATTTATATTAATTAGCCAATGGCAATTTAATAGCACTATTATCCAAAAACATCCATACTCAAATGCTGTTCTGTAGCAGGAGATTCCATCAAGATACTAATCTTTTATTAGCATCTCTTTCAGTTAAGAAAATAACAGGGGGAAAAAGGGTGGGGGAATGCATTGTCTGCAATTATTTTCAGGGCATGAACCTGAAAACGTTTTTTCCTGTGTTTTTCCTGTAGTCATCCTAGTTTTCTCATTAGCAGGGGGACACCCAATAAGGCCACACATCAGCACCCAGCTGTGCAACTACTGGGTGCTGAGGGTGGAGGGTCCCTGGCTGTCCGTATCCATCCAGAGACGCTGGATGCTTTGTCGACTACAAATCGACAGTCGCCAATCATTTCTCCTTATCTGCTTCGCTTCGGTCTTCATGTTCAGGGAGGGTTGTGGAATCTCCCTCTCTGGAGATATTAAAAATCCACCTGGACTCCTTCCTGTATCACCCGCTCCAGGTGATCCTGCCTTGGCAGGGGTTTGGACAGGGTGATCCCAAGAGGTCCTTTCCAACCCTAACGATTCTGCGATCCTGTATTTCATGTACAAGCACTTCTCTTGGAATAAGATTCCTGATCACAGCATAACCTCATGCTATGGGCTTCAGGACCCGTCAGATCGCACCTGACTCAGAATACGCCCGGTTTTTGCAGGGACATGCCCAGACCCAGAGCCCCGCACCCTTGGGAACCCAACCAGGGCGCAGCCTGAGGCGAGGCGAGGCGGGGCGGGGCGGGCGGTCCCTGCGGCGGGCGGGCAGCGGGCGGGGCGGGGCGGTGCGGGCTCCCCGCGCTTTGTCTCGGGCGCTGCTCCGCTCCCGCAGCGGCCCCGCGGCCCCTCCCTGTGGCGGCCGCGCTCCGAGCCCGCTCGCCGGGGCCCTGCGGGCTGGGTGCGGCGCAGCGTGCGGGCATCTCCGCCAGGAGCCCCTTTTATTTTTGCCAACAGATGGCTAAGGTGGGTGTTAAGATCAGCTTATCTTGCTAGGGAAATGTTCAGTGCGGTGAAGAAAAACTGGGTATTAATTTGCTGGCAGGGTATTTTCAACTTTATCCTGTGCCGGTTGAAATAATGGAAACGTTCTTGCTCTCCGAAGTGATAACATCATTTTCATCGATGATGTTATCCCTCATAGCATACATACCAACTTGGAATTAATGAAGGTACAGCTAGCAATCTGAGCATTTTTGTAGGCCTGTCATTACTGCATTTTGCAAGCTGCTTTAACCATACTACTTTAAAAAATACCTGTTCTGAAAAACTATACAACACAGTCATGAAGTCTTCCATGCTCTACTTCTCTAGAGGTAACTGAGTGCTTGAATAGGAGTAAGCACAAACTAACCTTTGTACTTTATCCCTTCTAGAACAGTTGGAGAACTGAAGTAATTTTTACAGAATACCTGTGTTTTGTCTTCATTAGATTTTACAGTAATCAGACCCTGTTCTTGAGCCTAGTGACTTCATCAAGACTCTAAATTTGGACGTAACTTGGCATTAAAATCCCAAGAGCTTTCTTTGATTCACTCGGCATTCTTTGCTGACTATTAATGCCTTTGAAATTTGAAACATGGTGTCCAGTGTTTATCAAATAATGCCTTACCATGCATTCCAACTCTCAGGAGAATGGTATGTTACCTCTCCAGAAGGGGAGAGCTTGCTTTAATTTTGAGTAAGCTGTGCATTTGACTGCATTTCAGACTGTACATCATCTGCAGCGCATCTATCTATTGATTTGGTTATGTGCTAATTTACCAAGACCAGCTATGCTTGCTGTGTTATGTAAGCTGTAGCACTAATTACAGGGGGTAGGAGAAAAGTATCTACAGATAACAGCAGGACCGTGAAAAAACTTGTGATTTTTTTAATAAAATTTGTCCAGTTCCTGACTTTGTTAGAAATGGTTTTTATCTCGTTTGTATTTCAGGAGGTACTGGGTGTGGAGAGAACTGCTAAATCATAGGTGAAATCTCATGTTTTACTGAACTTTTTCTTGAAAGTACTTTCAAAAGCTAGAGCTTTTTTTTTTCCATCATGTGAAACACTTGAGATTAATTTCAGAATAGCACGGGAAATAAGTTATGTCTAAAACTCCTGTTGTCCTTGCCTTGTGAATGCTCCTATCACACTGTTATCACCGTCCTTGAATGCAGAAGTTTTTGAAACTGATGAACAATTTTCTGCATTTTTATGGGTTATTTTTTGCCATGTTTTTATTTTTTTAAAACCACCACAAAATAAAATACTTCTCTTTCTGCTTCAAAACATTTGAAGCAGGTGGGTTTGCTTTTATTTACAGTTTTTCAGCTTAGGCTGTCTCTGTTCATGTATATTAGCTTAGGTTCAGATTAAGTTTTTTGTGGAAAGGTCACCCTAGGACAGAAGAAACGTACTCAAAGCCAATAATAATAATAATAATAAATTATTTCATTGGATATTATGCTTTTATTCAGTCATTGCTCCATTGGCAACTCAGAAGAGCATTGCTGGTTGCCTTCTTGGATTGAATTTATATTTGGATGTGCAATTGCACAGTCATACCCATCTGACATAGAAGTATGGCAGCTTCTCAAATCTGGCTCAGCCTGCTGCCTTATTATATTAGTGCTTAGTAATATAATTTCCCAGAGCTGGCTGGTGGAGTAGATGCTTGGCAGCTGTGCGTGTGAGGGTCGTGGTTATGGGGAAGGGCACGACTTCAGCTGTTGGCAGCAGTCTCTTGTGTGTCTGTGATGCTGGCAGACCCCCTCAGGCTCAGGAGGCTTGTCCTGGACTTTCCAGCCTCAGAAGCTGGTGCTTTTGCTTTGCTGAGGATCAGCATCATAGATGAGAGATCTGATTTACTTTGGTTATAAGCATGCTATTAATAAGAAAGAGCTCTACCCAGTTTATAATGATGTTTCCAAAAAGTGGAGAGATGAATGTGTAATGGTTGGCATGTGGAACTGCATTAATGACATTTAAAAAGCTAAATAATATTTTCAGTGTCACAGTTGCATTTTTTCACTATGTGCAAGTTTAAGTGTTCTTTGAAATGGCAAAGTAGGTTTCTGTGTCACTTAAAAGTTCCTTCTAAAATTTACTTTTGTTGCTCCTTTAAGGCTGTTGCTCTATTTTTTTAATCAGTATTGTTATATTACTAGATTGAGTCAAATTTGTACCTTTAAAGGTTTGTAAAAGTAATGAGCGCATGCTTGTCCTTAGAGGTGACAAATCTGATATTAGGGGCTAGCTCAACAACATTTGTTACTTTGCAGCTTGCATGCTGTTTGGCTGTTTTTCAATTTTCATTTAATTTACTGATGAAAATAGAGCCACAGACTGGCTCTGTCTGACAATGTAGTGATCTCTTCTAAGGTGAGCTTAAAAATCCGTTCATGAGTAGTTCACCATGTGGTGAATCTCAGGACCGTTTTTGATGGATTAACGTGTTCTTGTTGCTTTCACTGCTGGACGTCAGGAAAAAAGCTGTCACACTGGCGTGTTTGTTGCTCTCTGTTTTGCCTGAGCGAGATGGAACCAAGCACTGAATTCCTGACTTGATTTAAGCCAGAGCAGTCCAATGGTTTTGATCGGCTTCTCTCCAGTCTGTTGTTTTTTCTGGGAGGATGCCCACAGCAGCTGCTTGAGCCAACTAAATGCCGCTTCCCACACTTGTTCACAGCCCATCCCAGCCTAAGGAATAAGGGGCAGAGGGGCTGCTGTGTCCGAGGGCAGAAGTCCAGCTCTCAGTGGTAGGTCATGGCAGTGCTTGCCCAGCCACACGCTCCAGCAGCCAGGGAAGACTGGTTGTGGTTGGAAGGGGCTGGCTGGCTGCTGGCTCAGGAAATAGCCTGCAGTGGCAAACCCAGAGCTTTCCCTTGCTGATCTGCCTAGGGACTACACTGGGACCAGTCTGGGTGAGTCCTCGAGGTCTCTCTGTACAGCATCTTCTGCTGAGAGCTGGGGTCTGCTCTGTGACAGCAATTGTCCCTGGACCCTTCCCTGGCGTGGGGAATGTCTGAGGTGCCTTGCTCCACCCCTAACAGCGCAAGATAGAGATCTTTGGGGTTTTATGTTAGTAATGTGACTCTTGAGAGCAAGTGCTTTTTCTTGCTGTGTCCGAATTTCTGAATGCCCAATCTTATTTTTTCCTTAATAGTTTAGAAATGTTATGGGTTTTAAAACAAAAATAATATTAGGTTGAGTGTTCTTTTCCTTTTAGAGTTGTCTTGCCTCACTGGATCCATGCAGCAGCTTCCTTACTTTGGTGGCCATTTTCTTTAGCTCCATTTGACTTCAGACTTCGGCTTTCATTTTTTTTAGTAGGTGTATCTTTTGTCCAAGAGAGGAAAGAATTTGTTTCATTGTACACTGTTCTTAAATCAGTAACTTGGAAACTATTAAAGATTGAAATGCAAAACTAATATTAATGTATATAATTTTTAATGAGTTATTTGTCTCTGGTAGCCATTAAAACACAGAGATAAACGTGTCTTTGCACTGAACTGATGCTTCGCTGGGCATACTTGAACCTCTGTTAAGTGACTGAATTTGACATTTAGCACTCTATAATTGCTTAATGTATTTACTCTTTTTAAAGCCATCATGTTTTTATTTTTTTAATTAATGGTTATTTTACTTAAGGAAAAATCCCAAAAACTAGTTTAGGCTGATACAGTATGGAGAAGTGTCGCCCTGATTTTGTAAGACTTTGTTAAGCCTTCTGATATTTACATTCTTTCAACAAACTTTCTCACACACAGTTCTGTAAATAACCTATGTTTTGCATTCTTTCATGGAGGTGGAGAGAATTGATGGACTCTTGGTCTGTCCAGTGGCATTGGAGAGGTGGCACTGTCACCCTCCAATCCACTGTCACCTTTGGAAAACTATAAATGTTGGAGTCAGAAAATAAAGCTTCTTCTTTTTTGTTCCTCTCGAGAGCAGCAGTGTCTGTGTCATCATTTCGTGCCTTATCACAACAGAGAAGTGCACTACCAGAATACGTTTCACCTTTCAAAGAGAGGAAGTAGACAGGAATTTGAATGTTTCAGATTAGTTTCTTCAGTATCTTAGAAGTAATAGATTTTATGCCCTTTTCTATAGTTTTTTTAGATTTCTTGCATTTTTAAGTTAAATTGCAGAGGCTAGATTGATCTACTAATTGACTTCAATTGGTTTAATATAGTGGAAAGATGAACATGTTTTACCTGCACACAACATGGTGTGGTTGTCATCAAAAGCCGGTGTTGCATCTTGATGAAACCTGGTTTCAGGAGTATAGTAAGCACTTGACTGGAGCAGCTGAGGAAGGGCTTACTTTCTAAAGAAATCCTGAGGGAGGAGCAAACTAGGAATGAATATATTATAAATTGAGTTTATTATCAGTTTTTTTAACACATCATATTTTGCCAGTTAGGATTCTGATAAGCAAGCAGACTTAGGTAGGGACTGCTCTGTCCAATTACACTTGTGTTGAAAAGTGCATAAGCCCAGATTTGCTTTGGGGATCACTATGGCAAAACAGTCTTGGCTTAAGGCTGGTGTGAGAAGACAAGTCTTTGCCTGACAAGTCTTTGCCTGACTGCCCTCACAGTCATCACAGTGCCAGTAGCCTAATATGGGAGAACAGTGTGTTTATGAAGCCAAAGCAGAACTGTGTAACATTTACATAGGTTTTGCAGGTCACATGCTTTCTAGTGCTTCTAGTTGATCTTAAAGCTTGTTAACAGAAAGGCAGATGATGCATCTGGAATTCAGATCTGTCAAATAGCGCTGCTTGTTCGCCTTTGGTTGAGTTGCATTTCCATAGGCTTTGCAGGGGAAGGTTTCATAGATTTTTCTGGATGACCATCATGACTGAGTGACTCTCTAGAATGCCTGCACGTTAACACTCAGTATGGGACAAATGGGAGCAACCAGAGGTCTGCTCTCTGTTGCAGGGCTAGGATCTAGTTGGGATCATGTGTAGGTGGTAGGACAGCTCACAGGACTGCAGAGCTGTGGTGGATGAGTACAGGCTCTTCAGGAAGAACGAGCTGGACAGCATGGGGGGAAGTTGCCCTTTATGTGGGAGAGCAGTGAGAATGCAACGGAGCTTTGCTGTGGAACCACCTGAGGGAGTATGAATCAGGGTTAGCAGGCAGACAAGTGTGGGAACAGCTGTTGTTGCTGTCTGCTAAAAGGCACTTGATCAGGAAAAATATGAGGTCTCCCTCATAATTGGAAAGATCAGTGTATTCACAGTGTATTCCTCATGAGATACTTTAACCTCTGAAGGGACTTTAATCTGCTGGAGGGACAAATCAGTAAGGTGCAAGCAGCTAGGAGGCTTCTGGTATGCATTGATGACAAACTCCTGACCCAGGTGATCAAGGAGCTGGCAAGGGGAGACAGTCCTACAGTACTTCATATGTACAGATATGTGAGATGTAAAGGTCAGGGGCAGCCTTTCCACCAGTGACTGTAGGATGGTTCAATTCAGGATCCTGAGAGGAGGGAGCTGGGTAAATAGATCTCAGCCCCAGAGTTCGGGAATGCAGTCTGTGACTTTAGGGATCTGCTTGCAAGAGTCCCATGAGAAATGGCCATAGAGAGAGCTGGTTATTTTTAAGGATGTGTAATGTGACTGGCGCATTTTCACATTAAAAGTTAAGCTTTGTTTGAGGAAGGAAGCAAAGAAGGACAGACAGTTGTAGTAAAGGGGAATACACCATGATGTCAGTTGTGTGTGCTGCTGTTACAGTCATTCTTGACTGCATGGAACTCATTTCTCAGTCACCAAAAAAACCTATACAGAATCCTCCTCCAGGCTGTCACTTTGAGGCAGTGGGTCTCACCTTGATGTGTTATTTTCAAGAAATAAAAATGAAATTTGCCATCATCAGACTCATTCACGTTCAGTGCAATAACAGGGTTTTTGAAATATAATGCATTTTCATTGTCAGACTGAAAAGCTGTACAAAAATTTGCAGAGGTACTGTGAAAGTCTTTTCAGCTTGAAGGAATGGATGCTACAGTGCTAAGGTGTTATCTTTTGGAAACAGAAGTGACAGGTTTATACAAGATTGTCAATACAGGAGCACAGGAGAATTGAAGAGGCTTTCCTATAAAATTGGGAGTAGATAGATAAAAGTAGATTGATTTGCTATTTGTTAGACAATTGTCAAAACTTAGCTGCTTAAAAATTTCAAAGTATATGAATGGTTGAATACTAAGAGGCAGGGCTTACTATGATTTCCTCTTTCTTTGTCTCTTTCCTGCAAACTGCAGAATAGCACAGGTTAGAAGGGATGTGCTTGGTGGGGTAAAACATGCACAATATCGTCTTCCAAGCAGACTTGACCAAAGTATGACAAGTACTGCCTGTTGTTAAGGATTGCAGTCAGTGTATTTGCCTTACTTGCATTTTCATTTCAAAATTCCTTTTGGCAAAATGCAAATTTGCAAAACTTCAATTGTTATTGGAATACTTTTTTCCTACTTTGGTACATTCCTATTTTCATCATGTTATTTAATTATCTTCAAAACTGCTTTAAAAAAATAATACTCTAAATTAAAAAAAAAAAAAGCTCTAATTTAAAGGAATGTCCAAGGGTCTGTGCAACCCAGTCTAGTTGGAGGTGTTCCTTCCCAGGAGGGGGGTTGGAACTAGATGATCTTCAAGGTCCCCTTCCAACCCAAAACATTCCATTCTGTGAATGTTTTGGGTTCTGTGAAGTCTTCCCTACCTGAGTCACTGCATCAGTAAAATTTTTAGATGGCCCTTGCATGTAGTATTTACCGTTGGTTAGGCTATGGTTAGTTAGTGTGTTGATTAAAAAAATATAACCCAGTCATTATTGATTATTGAACATATGTTAGAGACTGGGCAGTCCTCAAAGAACCAGATGCTGTGCCTTGATGATACAGATTCTAACTAATGTGGGGAATGAACAGCATTTTTTTATTGTACCATAAATATGTGGAACTCTTAAGTGACAAATACCTTGCTTTTGGAGATGAAAATGGAGTTATGCTAAAAGCAATAAATACGGTTTTGTAGAAGAATTTGGCAAGTGCTCTTCAAGTGCTGACTTTCAACACTTGCAGATTACTTGATGGATTCAAATAGGTACCTAGTCCCAAGGCAGGGAATTGTACCAGGCTGTTTCTGCATGTTTGAATTCAGAGAGGCTTGATGATTCTGATTATCACAGGTCTCTGGCCTAAATAGTTTAGTACTGCCGCTGCTGTTGATAAATAAAAGGTTTTGAAGGGCAGTCAGATTTTACAACCTGATTAAATACTGTTACAAAGTGCAGTCTTGTTTCTGCAATTTGTATCTATGTGCACCCCACACAGCTCTATACACTTGGGTATATAGAGCTCTCCAAAAGAAAAAAGTGTAACAAAGCTTAAGTTATTCAGCAATGCACCGGAGGCTTCTGCTCCCTCTAGGTGTGGTCTGTTTACACAACTGCCTTATCTGTAAACATGACAGCAAGAACAAGTATCTGTGACAGATATGGCTGTGGCTCTATCAGATCAAGCTTGCATGTATTGATGGGTGCACACATTGTACTGAGAAAGATAAATAGAACTGGTAGCTTGCTCTTCCTGCTGTAAATCAATTGTGCTACTTGAATATGAGAAAAAAGAAAGAAAGAAGTTGTTCTCTTGAAATCTAGGTTCAAGGAAGTCTAAACTTATCTATAATACTGAAAGCACCATGATACGTCTGGAGATTGTATAGCTGTACTGTCAAACTTAGTGCTCCACCCAGACTTTACAGCTAAACTCCTAACTTCAAGATCAGAAAGTGCAAGCAACTAGACTGTAACCATACTCAGAAGAGATGTGAGCAGTAACTTGTGTAGGTACAAACCCAGTGATTTGGAAGCAGAACTGGAGGAGGAGGACATTTTACAAACATGAATGATAAGATTATTGTAGTCCTGCTAATAAGCTTCCAGTCTGGTTAAGTCAGATACCCAGCATCATACTAGGTTGTACACTGTATTTTTGTCTGAGACCTGGTCTCAGGGAGGCAGTAGAATAGGATGTAAAGCTCTGTATCATAGTTCTGGCATCACTTACGCTGAAATACCACTTCTGTGGTGGTCACATAACAATTCTGATCATATTTAACTGTTCTCTAGGTGTGTTTTGATTAGATAAACAGTAATAATTATTTCAGTTCTTCTCCAAGTTAACTATATTCATTCATGTTTAATACAAGCATCTAAACTGCTGGTGATTAGCGGTATTAAAGCTGGTAAAAAGGAAAAAAAGTGTAGCTGCTGTATAACCAAAATGATTTTTAAAAGTCCTGCATTGTTGCTAAATTTACAGACTGAAGAAAATTGCCATGACAGTATCTTACTACCAATTTCTATTCTCAGACCAATTTCTCAAGCATATCCTCCTTCTGTTTCCTGATTTGAGTGTACTTTTTTTTAATTTTATTTTTATTTTTTCCCTTAGCCTCCTCCCTGCGGTGCATCCCAGATTAAAAACCATTTTGGCTAACTTTTTTCAGAAAAAAATTCAGGAAAAATACCACACATTGTCGAAAAATAAAACAAAGCCTAAATTAAGTCAATTGCAGCCTTCATAATTTTATTCCCATGTCTTACTGTTAAGTTAACAGATTTCATGTGGATAGCATTGCTAACCCTTCTGTAAGGGAAGACTCATGGACTCCTAGAAAGAAATGTTAAGGTTTTTTGGTTTGTTTGGTTTTGGTTTGTTTTTTTTTACTTTAAAAGTGAGGAAAATCACAGAGGAATTAAGAAGCTAAAGGGGTGAGTGTGCCCCTTCATAAAGGATGCTTGGCTTCCCATTTTCAACAAAACTTCAGGAACTTTCATTTTTTAGAAACAACTTCCTTATGTGCTTTGGGTCAGTGATTTGTGTTACATGGTAGGTGTTGGCAGTAGAAGTAGCTCTAGGCAGCTGTGATTACCTGCCAGCAGCAGGAGAGGGTGGGAATGCTGTAAGGAAATCCAGGACTGTAACTGCAGCTGTGCTAAGTGGTAATTGGCATTCCTTGTGCTTTGGTTTGTCATATGTAAATATTGCTCGTTCAGGTCAGCAGCTATCAAGTCTGCTTCTTTTCATGTGGAATTTAAACACCAGCTCAAATTCTAGAACACTAGAATGAACACTCAGCCAAATTCTTGATCTTGTGTCAAGATCACTAATTCTTATTTATTTCAGCTAATTTATTGAAGACACAAATAGTGTAATTTCATATTTTTGGGAAATGCCTCTTTCACTTGTTTCTGCAAGGCTGAGGGTTGTATCAGAATGATGTCATAAAAAGAAGTTGAACTGTTTAGTAGAAGTGAGTTTGGGGTGATGTAGGTTGTCATTATTAAGAGTGCTAGGAGCTCTGAAGGATGAAGTCATGAAATAAACAAACAAATCTGTCCATATCTTGTACTTTTGAGTGGAGTAATTGAGAAAAGGTTACAACTGTTGCTGCTTACCCTTCAGATCAGTGGTGAGGGCAGGTTCCCAGCCATCTAAGCTTTGTACCGGTGTTCCTGTGCTCAGGCTTGTGGATTTAAGAAAACAGACCTATGGAAAAATTTTCAGACATGATTTTTTAAAAAAGAATTTGAAAAAATGGAGTTAAAAACCAAGTTCCTAGTAAATCTTTATCACATTCAATTTGAATGCATTCAGATTTCTTTATCGTAATTGAAATAAAATTCTAATGCAAGAATAGAAAAAAAACAAGATTCTTCTGCGTGTTTTGGATTTTTCCTACTTCTCGTACTTGCATGCATCTAAATGCACAAATATTTAGATGGCACAAAAGGAAACTTGGTTATGAATTCCATTTGTAAAACCATTTACTGTCAGTGCAGTCCTGCTGTGCTGTGGTAAGGAGAGGCATAGTCATATCTGCATGGAAAGGGTGCATAAATTAATTGAAGGTATGAACTAAATGTTTTGAACTGCACTTTTCATGTGATTTATGATTCTTAAAATGCACTGTGCTCCATAGTATGTTCATACAACATTGTTATGTTCTATTGTTATGAACATAGTATGTTCATACAACATTGTATGCAGTTAGTTACTGGGGGTGAACTTGCTTTAAATAATTGAAAAAATCAGAAATAGACAATAATTGCTTATTGGTAATACAAGTTTCACTCAGTTTTAATCATTGTATTTGGGCAAAAAAGGTTTTCGGTAGGAACCATGGCTGCCTGAATCTGTTTGTTTGCTGTGAAATATTTAATTAAATTATTTTTTTAGGACTGGTCATACACTTAGCAAGTGTGTATGTTTAGGTGGAAAACAGGTTTCCACAGGGAAGCTGGGAACAAAAGCTGATCAAATGATTGAAGATTGCTGTGTTGATAACTTTGTTAGTTTAAGATGCTGCTTCACCTAAAATAAAAGTAAATTCGAAGTGGTTTTATTTTAATGGGGTGTAAATAGAGGCAGTTGTATTGTCTGCAATAGTCAGATTGAGTACAGAGAAAGCTACTAGTACATCTCAAACATAATCCAAATTTACTGCTTCTTGATAGATACGTGGTATAAAAATATCCCTGTATTCCTCTGCTATAGTACTAGATATAGTAGATGCCTTTTATTGGGAAACACTGTAGTTTTTCATCTCTGCCACAACTCTGTTTCATAATGCATACTATATAAATATATTTGCATGCATAGGCTTTGATACTTTGACTTGTTGGTCTTTTGTCTGGTTCTGTGGATCTGCTTTATGTCAGATATGCTGTTTACATTTTTGTTACCAATGCTTAAATAGCAACATCAGAAATACTTCTGTAAACCATCAGTTATAATCTGAATAAAATATATAGCAAAAATAGCATCAAGACTGTTTTCTTTACAAAATAAAGTGGGATAGTTTATCTTGGTAGAGCAAAATAAATAATGGAATGTGTCTTTTCTATATTTGATACTAAATTTGATCTTTTTCCAAAGACAGAAATACCCACTAAATAGCTTTATTCTTGGTGTCTATTTGAGCTGTCGTTGGGACTTACAAGGGATTTTTTATTTCTATATTGATATGTATCCTTTTAAGGGAGTGGAGTTATGTATTATAAATAAACACAATTGCTGGTGACGTGTTGCTGGGCCTGACAGCTTCCAAAAGTACCTAAGGACTTTGGTATATTTTTTGCCTTTCTCATCTGCATAGCCTCTGCACAAGTCAAAGGATATATGGCTAAGTGTATATGAGGTTAGCATTTTTGAAATAATGTTTTGTCATTAATTTAATCAAATTTTCTTAAAGAAGTATGTTGTTTTTTTAAGGTGAGGTTACAGTGCAAACTGGAGATCTGTTGCCGTGTAAGATTTGTGGAAGAACTTTCTTTCCTGCAGCACTGGTGAGTGGTGTGAGACCTTTTGGCTTTTATATTTGATAAGTTGATATGAAAGTTAAGCAGTGCTCAGTATAGCTAAATAAAATAGACTTAGGGGTTTTGTTTTTGTTGGGGTTTTGGTTTTTCACCCCTCCAAGTAATTACTGATTCCAGTTGTCTCAAGTTTGAAGCTCATTAGAAGGAGTTTAATTTTATTTTAAGATCCCATACTTTTCTGAAATACATGCCTCTAAAAGCATCTTTTCTAGGGTTACAGAATCAATCCTTGTGTTCTGCAGTTTTTTTCAGCTAGTAAATGAGGTGTTTTGTTTGCCATTTCCAAAACTGTTCTCCACTGTTAATAGAAATCAGTCTGTCCTTAAATGTGAATATGAATTTCAGACACCTATGATTTGTTTTGCCACTCAGTGCAAAAGCTGCCTACCTATCATCAGGTTTTTTACATGAAAGGAGCAAATATAGATGCCTTCAACTTTTCTTCTCATTATCACCCGTGGTTTTGTGACACTGTATACATCAGTGAACTCCTGTAGTTCTGTTTTAAAGGTGGTGGCTGGCATGAATGTTTGAGGGAAAACAGTCTTAAGCTTATTCATCAAGAGTTGGGGTTTTTTTGCTAGTTTTTTTAATCAAGAAAGAGGGAAATAATGTGTTAATAAGTTCTGTTTTCAAAACTGAGTTCTGCATTCTCCTTTTATTTTGCTTCTGCTTTCAGAAAAAGCATGGACCCATTTGCCAAAAAACTTCTGCCAAGAAAAGGAAGACGTTCGATTCCAGCCGACAGAGAGCAGAAGGAACTGACATTCCCACAGTAAAACCTCTTAAGCCACGGGTATGTGATAATTTACTCTGAATGTGAGCATTTCAGGCATACTACATATGCATTTTAATAAGGCTTATTTCTTCTGGCAGTTTGTGTTAATTAGATCAACTAAGATTTGAAAGAAATCTTAACTGTGATATTATGTACTAAAATAAGGTGCATAGTTAGCTTCAAGTAAAAACTTCAAAGCTTTCTTTTTTGCCTCTTAGCCAGAACCACCCAAAAAACCTTCTAACTGGAGACGAAAGCATGAGGAATTCATAGCGACTATACGAGCAGCCAAAGGACTTAATCTTAAAGACGGTGGAAAACTCCCTCCACCACCTCCACCATCATATGACCCAGGTATGTAAAACAGTCAAGTTCCTTAGAGATTTTTCTTTAAATTAATGTGAAGAAGTTTGAATTGAAAAGAAATTTGTTGGAATGCAACATCCGCAAGTTCTTGAAGATGTCTTACTGTCCCTGTGCAGATGCTGGATTGTGACTTTGGGTCTGGCTGGCTCACATCTTGTGTAGCTTTCAAAGCCCTTGACTTTGTTTTTGAAAACATAGCTGGGGCCAATTTGCAGTTTGCTACTGTTTTGTAATCCGTAGGTTGGACAAATTGTTTCAATACCCTGTTTGTGCTCACAACAACAGCAGAGTGCCTTTTTGGTTAGCTGACACCCACAACATATTTACATTGTGGGAATGCACTTTTGTGCTCTTCAAATGTAATCTCTCCCGTTTCTTGCTGAATTCACATTTGGATTCATGTATGCAGTATATGCCGTAATGCCTCAGGTGTTTTGGGTATGTGAGATGTGTTCATATTAGCAAGGGCAGGACAGTCCTTGGGTACCTTCGAACTGAGAGTGGGTAAAATGTTCGAGCAGTCTGATGTGAATGAGAAGGAAATGCACTTTTCGTTTAACTTCTGGGATATTATAAATGGTTGAAGAATTTATTTCTTCCTCTTGTCCTAAGAGTTAAAGCATTTGATTAGCTGAATGGCTATTTTCAGAAGGATTGGGAAAGAACGTGTTTGCTTCTGCCTGTCTCTGTGGTCAAGGGAGGATGTGAAATGTTGCCTATCATATTTCTTAGCAGCAGATGTGTTAGTCCAGCATTAGGATTGTAATGATGCATTCATTCTAAGAGGCTGTATTATTCAGCATTCTGTACTCACAATCCTGAAAACCCGTACAGTTAATTTTAAAAAGTAAAGCCATCTTAAAGCCAATAGCAAATGCTGTGGATAAGAATCACAAGGCTTGATCATGGAAAGAATCATTAATAATCTATGTAGCATATCTATAATCTATCTTGTTGTAGTTGGTTTTAGTCTCCTTGCTTCAGTGCTACTGCAGTGGGTAAGACTTAGAAAGAGGAAATCAGGAATGAAGAGACCATGCACAAAAAGATTAGTGCATATTCTTCTTAAAAATAGAGCAGGAGCAGCAACTGATACTCGTTTTGTACTTGTCCTGTAGAAGAGTGGGAAGATTGTGAATGTACCGTGTGTATGCATCCTCTCCTACTCAGCTCTGTCTTGGTCACACTTGTTTCTAACAAGCAGCAAGTCTTTTTCATTTTAATGGAAAGAGTCTCATATTCGTACTTTCTGCTTAACTGCTCTGAGCTGGAATGTATTGCTGCTTCTTTCATCTCCTCTTCCACTTTTTGTGAGGAAATGCAGAATAGCATCAGGTTAAGAACAACCTTAAGTCACCCTGAGTTTGACTGCATGTGTGTACTGCCCTCTTATTTTGATTAATTTTTGTTTTTTAAAGCTTACATTGAATCCTAGAGGTTCTTCTGGACAGTATGAGCAGTACTTTCAGAGAGCCAAATGTCTGACTGGCACTATGTGTTTTACAAAAGGATGAAGATACAATTTCTGATTCCTAAAAGTATACATTCATCCTCCCACGTGTGATACATTTGTGGGCTTTGAAAGTTTTCTGTGGGAACTGAGCTCTGCACTAGCTAGAAGTGGTATATTATCTAGGGGCTTTCACAGCTGCTTTATTTTTCTTTTTTTCTTTTTTTTTACTTTCTTTGGAATATTTTAGGTTTGACTACATAGCTGTTACAGTTCTGTTTCTGATTTTTTGTCTCTTAAGGTGTAGTTGATATTCAAGTATACTGACAGTAGCAGAGCATATGTAAAATAAAAAAATGAAAAATTGTTGTTGTTACCCCATGAGATTCCCATGCTGTCACTTCTCTGTGTTCTTCCTCTGTCCTTAGCTCACACTTCTTGGGTCACAGTTCATGGTTTGGTGGCCATTACATCATTCAACTTACTCAAAACTGTTTATAAATATTTAAAGGGACAAATATTTAAGCCTGATCTACTGCATTTGGACTAGTAACATGTAATCAAAAACTTATTTTAGATTTTATGATATCTAATTGTAATTTTGGAGGCAGTGATTGTTGAATTTCATCTCATTCTTCAATATATGTCTAAAATGACCTAGAAACACACTAATTTAACCTGCTTTGCTGGTGTCAAGCTTTTTTGATGCTTGCATGGTTTTGATTGCTCTAATCTTGGGCATACAGCATTAATATTTCGGGGCACTGAAATACACAGTTGTCTGAAACTGTCGTCCAAACATATTATTTTCAAAGTGCACTGTATTTTAAGGTGTGTATTTCCAGCATACAGATTATGTATCTTTTAATATTTTAAGCATTTCTGTAGTCCTTTCTGTTTTTTCCCCAATGAGAGTAATATTTCCTGTATGTAATACTGTTTGCAATGTGACTAAATTAATCTTGCAGTAGTAACATGGCCACCAGTTACTTTCTTTTGCATGTCTTTAGAGATAGCTCCTTATTTTGGCTGATCTTCTTCTGATTTTTTTATTTGTTAAATTTCTGATTTTTTTATAATGATCACTTCTAGTATTGCAGTTAGTATTTCTCAGTTCTTTCAAATTTGTCAAACAGATTTGTTGTCTTTTGCTGCTTGTAAGGTTGTAATGTATTCCCATCTCTTGAACAAACTGAACTGTTTGTGATTTTTTGAAAATTTTTGATTGTTTGTTTGTTTAGCTTCTTCTCTACTTCCTTCCAGCTGATCTCTGTGTCACGTCCCTTTACCTCTGGCTACTTTCTCTGCAGAATAGCGTCACTTAAAGTGTTTCTGATTTTGCTTAGGTTATTTCTAATCCTCAGCTACTCTTAGCCATCAAATGAGAATATGCTTTTAGCTGGCAATCTATATTTCATTTCCAGATTGAAAAATATTAATAATTTCTCCTGGAGGGGAGGCTGGTCTTTAAAAGACTTTAAAACATTGTCATTTTTAAAACAGAGTATTAATGTTAGATTTCTATGTTTTTAAGATTACATTCAGTGTCCATACTGTCAGAGGAGATTTAATGAAAATGCAGCTGACAGGCACATCAATTTCTGTAAGGAGCAAGCTGCACGTATTACTAATAAGGGGAAATTGGCAGCTGATACCAAAGGCAAGGTTCCTACTCGAACACAGGTGAGCTATAACACTTTTCTTAACTTGTCACTTGCATTCAATGTCATATCAAGCTTGTTAAATAGTGTGTTACTTTTAAAAAGAACTGTTTTATTCTGTGATTTTGTTATTTGCACTCACTGAAATTAGACACTAGCATGGATGAAGCTTTTGCTTTCTTAAACTGCAGAGATCCATAAGTCAGGTAGCAGCAGTTGCAAAACGAAAACCAGTGATAAACATAATTGAGAAATGTGTAAATGATGGGTAAAGATAGCAGGAGGAAATAGAGATGCAGTTTTTGTAGAGGTAGTTGAATTTCTGTTGTGCTAGTTTCTAAATTGAGTTGAAGACTTGCTTAATGGGCAAACAAAGTACCTGACTACAGGATAACTGACAGCAGTATTGTGGCTAATTAGAGGCTTTAGAGGGCTTCAGGTGTATTACACAGTATTTTGAATTAGTGCAGGGACTGGTCCAGACCACACAGGTGAAAGTAAGGTTTGGATTTCAAAGACAAAAAAATAATTCTACCTTTGAGTATTCACTTTTAAATTAATTGATAATGAGATGATACTGTTAATCTTAACAAAGCCACTAAGTTAGGGAGTGTTTCCTGCCAGCATCGTCTGTAAGTGTTAGAAAACAGACTATCAGAAACCATTTGCATGTGCCCATACCAGAAACAGGTTCATTAGTAGGAAATCATCCTCTGTTCTCCCACAGTACCTGAAAGAATTACCTGTTGTGTTATATAGATAGCTTGATTTAATTGCTTAAATTTCTAGGTTGTATTTTGTTACAGTACAAACCTGCTCCAGTTAAGAAGATGCCTTCTGTAGGATCAACACCATCACCATCATCACGCTTACCACAGCCAAGTGGTGTTAGCAAAACTGTTGTAGGTATGAAATGAATGTTATGAATTGTTCCATGTCCTTTCTAAATAATAACTCTCAAACTATGCAGTAAAAATTGATTTTTACTGATATAAAATTGATATAGTGGTTTGTAAAATCTCATTTAAAATAAATTTGGAAGGGGCACTGATTGCCATCTATCTAAAAAGACTCCTGAGCACTTAGGATTCTGGTTTATATATCAGGTCAATTTTTTTTTTTTTAATTTTATATGAAAAATCATTCAGGGTAGTAATGCATGATTGTATCAAATACTGATCTCATACTTAATTCTGTAACTAATTTTTCTGCTGAATATGATCATAAATTGGTGAAAATATGTAGTCAAGGCATGTATATTAGAATTATGCAAACAGCAGTCTAATTTAGGTTTGAGATATCATTGGATATGAAACATGTTCTGTTTGTACATACTTTTACTTTTCTTCCCCTTTTATTCATGAGCAAAGTAAATGAGATACAGTATTTTTTCTTAGAATAAAATACTATGTCTCAATTACATATTTCCTATACATTTCTTGAAATATTTTCTTTTTGTCTTATCTTGATACTGACTCATATCTCTGTATTTCTAAAACTCTTGTTTTGAATTTTGCAATGAAAATTTTTTTCAATAAATTGTATCATTTCAGCAGAAAAATCTTACATTTTCTTGTATTTTTATGCTTGCTTTTCAACTGCAAGGTGTATCTTCAAGTAAAGCACTGTCTTCATCTGGATCCAGTGGGAGCAAAATTCAGACATTATCACCAGCTCATAAAAACTCGCTGGGAGCGGTGAACCCACAGGCAGGGTGAGTTCCATCTAATGTTGTCATTTGTGCTTTATTTCATGTTTATGTTGTTCTAGTTTTAGAAGTCTCTGTGGTTTGTTTCACTTTTAATTTTTTTTCCTATGAGCTTCAGAAGTACAGTGTTTTGCATTTATCCTTTATCTGTAAATATAGCTAATGTTTAAAAAACATTGGAGAAGGCAAAGGTTTTGTCAAGTTGATTTAACAACAAAGGAGATCAAGAAATAAAATATATTAAAAATTACAGAATAGGTAGAAGTGGTTGGAGTAATTAATTTTTTCTTGGTAAAAGTGAAGGGTCTTAAAAAAGCAGAAAACATTAGGCATAATTTCCTACACTGTGTGGAAATAGAAGAAGGAGGTTTCTGCCATAGACTGCAAGGCTATTGTGACAGGATCTTCTCTCTTAGCACAAATGGATGGAGGCTTTCTCTTTTCCCTTCCCTAAGAGGCAACAAATGAATGAGTACAAATAAGACAAAACCAGTGCACTTACAACAGCAAGGAGTGCTACATGAAGATTATTAGTGTTCAGTGTAAGTGCTGGTGTGATCAAGGCTGTGACTCATGCTTTGCTGGAGGGGTAGACATTTCGCAGAATCTCATAGAGAAATCTGTGGAAGGGATTGAAGAAAAGTTGTGCAATTCTGCAGAAGTTTGAGGAGCACCAAGGATCACTGAGAACACAAAACATAAAAGGAAGTGACGGCAATTATAACATTGGTGATTGAAAAAGATGTATTCATATAAGAATGTGTATCCAATTGGTGAAGACTGTATAACGTGAAAAAAATCAATGCCTCAGGTTTATGAGGAGGAAAAGGACATTCTAAAAACTCATGGGGTTGGACAGCAATTACACAAAACTGAGATTTTTAGTTTCTCACTCTTAAATTTTACAGGTTAGGCATGAATATAAATTACAGCTCTGTCATGCTTCCCTCCTAATGTCCTGTAGCATTGGGATTCAATTCTGCCCCCCCTTGCTCTGTCTACTCATGATAACTGTTTGGGACACAGCTCACATGCAGAGTCCATGAGGTTGACAGATGTCTTTCTTTTTTTATTTCCCCCCTCTTCTGGTGTCTCACTAGTCTTTGGTCAGCTTCACTACCATTTGTAGGCATCTGTGCTGTGACTGTCAGAAAATCCCAGCCCCTTATTCACTGACTTTTCTTTGTTTCTCCATTTTTAGAAGGTGAATTAACACTTACTGATGAGTGGCAAACAAGCAGGTCTGCAAACCACAGTAAAAAAGTCAGCTGAGATAATTTGAAGGCATGTTTCTGAGTCCAGTAGTGTTAACCCAGCTGGCTGGGAAAGGTTTTTTCCTGTTGAAAAGTTCCTAATTGAAGTCTCTATTTGTCAGTGAGGACACAGCAATTTTGGCCTTCACTTGTTAACAATGAAGTTCTATGTAATTTTACTAGTCAGTTGCTGTTGCAGTAAGCATATGAAATTTGGTAGAAAATAAACCCCCTTGTGTTCCAGCTATTCCTCAGAGATCAGGGGGGCTGAGTGCCGCTTGGCTTAATTTCTGATTGTAACTACTCAGGCACTATGGCTGGTTATGTTCAATAAGAACTTTTACAATTCTAGATTAACAAATAATGTTTATTAAATCAGCAGATCATTGACTCTTGTTAGATTGCTGGTGATAAACGCAGTAGGTCTACAAAATGTTGTCTCACTGTTCCCAGCTATACTCTTGATGCAGCCAGAGGCACAAATCTTACCAAAGAGTCATCCCTGTTTTGGGAAAGGGAGAGAGGAGCAAGGCCATTGTCTATGAAGTAAGGTCATGTTCTCATACTCTAAAAATGGAGGATTTCAAATATCAATTTTAGACTTTCTGGAAAAGTGGAAGTATGACTGTTGTCAAATATAATTGGTTACCAGTTGCTGTGGTCCTAATTGGTGGAGAAGCAGCTTTTTTCTCATTTTCATATTGCTGGTGCATTTTTCAATGTATTAATTATCTTTGGACACCTTTGGCTGTAACAAAGGCAGCACAGATCCCTAATAATTCAGCATCATCCCCCACCCAGGTGAGGGAGCAGTGAAGGCCACCTGACATTACTCCTGTTAGCATGTTACAACCTCACATCATCTTCCCAAAGGAGCAGATTTGTAACAGAGGCTGGTTGGGAAGGGATAAGGTGGAGTGAGGCTGATACCAAGGTCTGGGTGCACTCCTGTGCTTCACTGAGACACCACTGGGCTGTGACACCTCTGCCTCACCCCGGGCATCATTCAGTTGTTGAGTCTTGCTCCAGCCTAGTCCAAGGTAAGCAAGTGGCTCAACTCACATTTTTACTCAGTCTCATGAATTCTCCACAAACTCACAGCATCTCTGTGTCTTGACATAATAAGTCTGGCAATTTTCCGCAGTTGCTTACTGGACTTTGTTTTCAGTAGTCTTCCATTTTCTCCTCTGTTGCTTGGAGAAGCAACTGTGACGACATGAAGCCGAATAGCAGCTGGGGAGATGTTTGCCCAGGTTCTCTCTGTTTATGCATTCTGCTAAGCACAAATAGATGGCTTCTGGCTGGCACAGCTCTCAGATAATGATCTCTGCTGAAAGACAGTCAGTAAATGTTAGCTTGGCTTATAACCTCAGTTGCCTACACAATTTCCAGATTTTAAGAGCATGGGTGGGTGTGATGAATGTGTTTCTGCCTGCAGTCCTTGTCATTGCTCTAAAAAACTTGTTGTCTTCTGTTTTCCAGCTCACCCTTATGGTGTTTGCTGCTCATACTAACCAATCTTCCACAGGTGGCTGTTAAATATGTCTCGTTCCTAAGTGTTAAATGTGTGACCTGGCATTTCTTTTTTTAGCTTCATTGTATTCACTTCTGGGGACAAATTTGTCAGAAGTTATATTGAAGCAAAGAGGTGTAAGTACCAGTTACATCATGGAAAATTAGGTTTGTCAGATTGGTCACTGGTGACAATTTTGGCCTTAATCATCTCAACTTCTGCCTCAGTATTGGGGCATGAGGGGGAAATACATTGAGTTCTGTTGAAATACCTTCAAAATTATACCAAAGCAAGGACTGAGACAGTAACAGTCAATGTCCTGCATGAGAGTGCAAATAATTAATACTGCAGTGACAGATTTTAACCATTAAAACATCTTACAATTTAGGCTATGGGTAAATGCAGCTGGAATTCCTTTCTAAAATAGAAGAACTTTTGAACATTACCCTTCAGTAGGATTAAACAAGATTTATTTCTTTTACTACATTTATGATTTAACCAGTAGAATGAAGCCTTAGTGTGAGATCTGGGATTCTGTTACACTGAAGTCAGACAGAGCTTATGCTGGAAGATAAGATGTTATGCTCTTCTGAGTTGTTAGCAAAACAATTTGCTGAGCAGTGTTGTGTGGGGGTATTTGTAAGGGCAATCTTTTAAATGGAATGTTAAGCAATCACTATTTTCTTTTCTTCTTGACAAATATTAAAGAGCCGACACACATTATTTTGACCAGGTTAAATTCCAGGTTTTGCTGTAAGAAACAAGTTCCTCCAGTTTGCGCTAAGGAAAGCTGTAACCTTCCATCTTTGCCCAGATTCTTGTAAATCTGGATTTTCCGGAGACGTAATAGAAGAGAGGTTTAACAGTAGAATTACAATTCTATTGTGCAAGATCAGGGATGAGTTCTGTGTACCAGGCGATGGGACCCCACTGCGTTCTGCGGAGCCGAGGTCGCTGCTCGTGCGGGACGCGGCGGGACCGGAGGGGTCGCTGTGCTGAGCGCGCAGTGCCGCCCGCGCCCGGCAGGTGGCGCTGGCGCAGCGCGGGCCGGGCCGGGGCCGCTCGGTCGGGAGCGGGGGGCGGCGGCCTGGCCTGTGAGCCTCGTGTGCTGCGGGCACTGCTGCTTGTGTGGGCACAGGGGAGCCCTGGCTTGTGACCTCGGTATTGTAAGTTATTTTCACTGTGCGGTGTCCTTTTTTTATTTAATTTGAATTCTCCTGTTCTGCTCCCCTGGTAAAGGACTGCTGAGAGAACACAGCACAGTGTCGTCAACATAAGCTGTGTTAGTGCCAGTCAGGCTTACTTTGTACGTGTAGATCAGGATGTGTCAGCTGAGTTCTGCTGTGAGTTTTCTTTGTCTACCTGGACAGAGTGAGGACACAGACAGTCCTTCCAGTATGGATGAAAGTGTTGCATAAGGGCATCATTTCTGGGTCATGCAGAAGCAAGTGAGGAGTATCATGTGACTGTTGTAGTCAGTAGGAAAATCTTCATTCATTTGGGTGAAAATAGATTTTTGTCTTTTTGATATTGAAGAACTGAGAAAAGGAAAATTAATTCTGTATGAGTTATCTGTCATTAGGCTTATAATTTGATACCATGTTAGGAACCCAAGTTTGTTATGCATTTTATTACAGTATATAGGTTAGTGGTGTCTTACATTTCTTGAGGTGTATGGCTGTCAGAAGTAATCAGATGTTCAGGAGAAAAAATTGGGTAGGTTCTTCTTAACCTAAAGGGTAAGCAAACAGGTGAACTCCACACCCACATGTAAACTGTTTTGCCATCAGAACCTGACACCGTTTGTGGCCAAACAGGGATCTTTTGCATGTACAGATTAATTGTCTGTACACATTTCATTTGTGAACAGTTATGTATGTTTGTTTTTTTTAATGGGACTTGGAAATTATATGATATTTTTTAATATCAAAACTGAATCCTTAGAAATTAATTTTTAATTTATGTTTTATTTTGGGGATAAAACATACACTTTAATGTTAATGTTTCCCTCCTGGGAATCATGTCTGCTGGTGACACATTCACTAGTGTTTTACAGTTGAAATACAATATGAACAGCACACCAAATCAATAACAGTAAATTTTAAATTCCATTTATATGTTTGCCATAAAGCATGTGTAACCTTTAAAAACATTACATTTTTAAGACAGTTTGTTCCTTTTATGAAGACCGTAACTTACAGGGCTTTGTTCAGTGAGATCAAGATATGTAAGTAGTTGTC